AGCAGATTATTATTGTAGATCACGCAGGGAGAACAAAGGGTAAAATACTTAAGTGCAGCAGTGTTTGACTATATTCTGTGCAGTGAGAAAACCTAAAGTCATTTGCAAGGTCGACTATTTCTTACTTCTTTTCAGTCGGGTCAACTTTCTAAACTTTCTAAATCTCTGTTTTCCGGCTAATGAAAAGAAAATAGGATTTCACCGAGTCTCCTATCTACCTACTGTAGGTCTTCTGTGAGGATCAAATGAGATGAGGCAAGGGAAAATGCTTCATAGACATTTGGTTAAAGTGTAAAATGTTTGCACCTGGCGATAAAGCAAGTCATGTTCCTGAGCTGAGGGTTCCTGAGCTGAGGAACGTGCAAGGAGGCTAGTCACTAGGGAAGGAAGGCCAGGTGTTGCTAAGTGACATCATTACCCAGAAGGACACTTGGCATATTAGCCATATATATATATATAATATATATAATTTGACTATTGTTCTCATCTTTTTCATGAGGCTATCTCTGATAAACCCAGTCTTATTTCTAGTGTTAAATTTGAAAAAAAAATAATAGTAAAAGCTAAAAACTCCCAAGAAAATTGATCCAACAACAATTTGATAGAAATATCAATGAATATTAGCTACAATTCCTTTTTCCACATATATGTGTATCTGTGAAGTGTTTGTTTGATAGCCTGAGTCTCTGAAGGGTGTTCCTGATGCCTGACCAGCTCCTGAGAGTTAGAGCTCTGTTCATAACCCAGAAGAAGCCACATGGATATTGTAGCTGCTTTTTCACGCGCTGGAATTTAACATTGCTCTTACAGAGTGGTGCTGACAAAGTTTACATTTAAGATGAGAAAATTAATTGATTCAGTAAAAAGTTTTTTTTTCCTTTGTCAGCTTATTTTGTTCATTAGATTTCCACATTTAAGTGAGATCATGTGATATTTGTCTTCTCTGACTGGCTTTTTGCTTAGTGTAATACTCTGCAGGTCCCTTCATGCTGTCTCAAAGGGTAAAAGATCCTTCTTTTTCACAGCTGCATAGTCTTCCATGGGGTAAATGTATCACAGCTTTCTTATCCGCTCATCTACTGGTGGGCACTTGGGCTATTTCTGTATCTTAGATATTGTGAATTGCGCTGCTATGAACATAGGGGTGCAGTAAAAAGTTTTAAATTCATGTGTAGTGAAGGAGAAATAGAAAGCATGGTTTCACAATCAAGTCTATTTAGGATAAATCCTAGTGTTGTGTTCTGGCACCAGCAGTTTCTGGTTCTACCAGCTTGGGTGGGTGGCTGTTTATAGAAAAGTATATAAGTATACATACATATATTTATATGTTTGCTTACAAATGTGACCTGTAATTGGTGTTCAGTAGCTGTTAGTTTCCTCAATATTGATATAAGTGGATATACATTTTTCCAAATTTGAGTCTCATTACTAAGCATAATTTATCATGGTGCTTGTGGCCAATGTCACTGGATTCGACTCTTTCAGCTGGAATTGTGAAGATCCCTCTACAAGCCTCTTCTCCTCCCACTGTTTGTACCTGAAGGGCCAATCCTGAGGCAACTGGCTCTTCAGAGCTCTGCAGGCATTGTAAGGGCCAGGGAAGCCGGAGTGGAAGTGACCACCTTGCTGCACACATCATTCCCTGCCTATCCTTCTCTGCCCACCCAGCATCTTTTGTGTCCCCAGAAATGTGAAGGCTGAAGGGTGTTTTGTGGGGGAAGCAGATGTGGAAATATTCCTCTGCCCTCCAGATCTAGAAGCCCCAGTCATCCTGCAGTTCTTCAAGTAACATTTGTTCTTACTGTGTGTCCAGCAACAGTAGCCTGGAGGCTGCGAGGACCTCCAAGACAGGCCCTGTCCTCAAAGTGCCTGGAGTTCCTTGGAAACAGGTAAACCAGCAGGGGCAAAGGAGGGAAACTCCCTCCAGCCAGCAGTTCAGGAGCTCCAAGCCTGGGGAAGTGCTAGTCCTTGCACCACGTCTGATGCCGAGGACGGGCTGAATGATGGCCATTGGGTTCTAAAGGTTATGAAACTCATGGTTTTAAAAAATTAGACAAAATGTCTCAAAAATGCACTTCACTATGAAAAAAAAAAACAGTCAGTCAGACTAAAAACACCAAAGGAAATAAATAGCCCCACATCTACTTGTCACTTTAAAGCCAACATAAATTCTTAAAATTATTCCTTAAAATGTAAGATGTGCTTAATTCCTATTTCAAACCCAAAACAAAACAAAAACCTGTAAAAAAATGTATGGGGGATTCAAAATTGAGAAAAAAGTAGAATAGTTTCCAAAAGTTTAGTTTTAAAAAGGAAGAAATCCATGATCTCTGTGAGTATTAAAACCTAATATTACTAGTGACTGAGAATAGATATGATGATAATACTCTCAAATTCAGTCTGCGATCACAAATCTTAACCCTCAATTTACCATTATTTTCAATTAGAAATAGTGATGGGTGGTCAATCAAGAAATAACAAAGAATAGAAAGTCGATTTTTCCCATTGAAGTGGGGACAGCATAGAAAAGCACATGTGCAAAACCACAGCAGTTTGACAACTGACTTGGCAGCGAT